ACACAAACCCCTCCACCACGATAAGGTAGCGATTCACGGAGAGGTATTATTATTATTATAATTATTATTATAATTATTATTATTATTATTATTATTATTATTCTCTATTATTATTCAGTGCATATTATCAGCACAAGTGATAAGAGCGTTTCAATCCTTTATAAAAACACGAAAGCCAAAGTCCTCATCCTGCTCTCTGCTCTCTTTACTCTTTTCAGCACCACTTACCATCATTTTAAATTATTTGTGTTAATGACTTCATAAAACACTCACTAAATAGATAACGTGTTGTATCGTTGACATCAGAACACAGAAGGCAAGGTCCATTAAAACTGACTCTCCCTGCATATTGACCTATTCTTATATAACTGCATCCGCTTGATGCAGAAATTGTTGATGAACAGCAGAGATCAATGTCAGGAAGTACAGGTAATATATTTCCCAGCATTCCTCTCTATCCAGGAAAAGCCTCTATGTTAATGAGTGGAGTTAAAATCCCAGAGCAAATATTTTTAAGAAGTAAAATTCCATAAAAAGAGTTAGGCATAATCATATAATACTTCTAGCTTTACCATGACTCCAGTAGCGTGGCTGTCTATTGTAATGTAGAAAACACTCTTTGATAATGATTGCCTGACATGAAATTTGACTTTCTCTTATTGTAAAGTCATTAAAAAACAAACAAACACTACCTCTACACTATCTCTGTATTAGTAGAAACAGTGTATATGTGTTTCAAACTGAACATGAAGTTCATTCGGAAACAAATGTCACACAGTTTAAACAGAGACCAAAACAGATGCGTTTACAGGAAGCAGCGCACTAACAAAGACGCACACACGTACGCTTTAAAACGCATACAAATGAAATAATGAGTATCGCTATAACGATCAACAAAGAAATAGATTCGTTTCGTTGTTGCAGGTGCTGCACATTAATCTGCTCTAACTCTCGTTATTTCAACACTAAAATGCGGCTGCATTAAAAGCTGATGTCACAGGTGTAGACTCCGCAGTCATCCACCCACTAAAGCAGCAGCCTGAGCAGCGTTAAAGCTCCATCCGCACCTGTGAAACGTGACTGCGCCTGCACACATGATCAGTCTAAATCAATGAGTTTCTTACCGGATTCAGCAGCAAACGTCAGTCCGGAAACAGAAGTCAGGAAACAGAAGCTCAGAAACAGAAGTGGCAGAAGCTCCATGTCTGCACAAATCCTCAGAGGATCAAACGTTACAGCATCTCTTTAAAAACACAGGAGCTCGGAGCCACTCCTCCCAGCGCACTGACGCACAAAAAAGAAAGAAACATTCATTCTCCTTCTATTCTCTTAAAGCCGTAAGCTATAACTGCACTTCCGGTGTGATATGTGACAATATCAGCGACATTTAGCTCTAACATGTTTAATAACTGCGACAGTTACACAGAATCGCTGACAGCAGACAGATTAATGAGCAGAGATAACAGATTATTGTAACAGTTTATGTACAGGTTGAGGTAAAGAGAGAGGACACCCCATACTTCCAGAATCTGTAGCCTTTAAGGTCAAAGACAGCTTTTTTTTTTTTAAATGACATTTAAAAAAAATTAAAAAAAAAAAAAAAGGTCAAAGACAGCTTCATTTTTTCACACTAGCATCTTTATATGACGCACACACAAGGAAAAAAAACAAAACAGGCACAAGTTAGTTCGAGTTATAACACTCTTCACATGCCTCAAGGAAGCATGTCGTTTAGGAAGGAGGCCCAGAGGATGACCTGGGACACACTTCCAGGAGATGATATCTTTTAGCTGGCCTTGGTGTCCACATGGTGTCCACATGGTGTCCACATGGTGTCCACATGGTGGCTTTCTGGACATACCTGCTTTGAATGTTGTCCCCACAACTCAACCCTGCATAAGTGACCAAGGATGAAATTATGGTGAAATTTGGACGGATCCATCCATCTATTGCTAACTACTTGTCCATTTCAGAGACACTGGGAGGG